TTCGGGCCTAGTTCTTCTTCCGCGACCAATCCCGTACTCTATGACGAAGTAGCCGGTCTCAAAGAAGCACTTGAGAAGAAAGACGAAGAAGTTGAAGAATTGAAACTTGAGAACGCCGCAAAAAAAGAGAGCCTTGAAACATTGAAGGCTTTCATGAGGAGCAAATTCCCAGATTTTCATTTTTAGATTTTCACATCGGTTTTAGTTTTTTCTTGTAATTTACGTTTAAAATACTTCTGAATACTTTAAATTACATTTTCAATGTATTTTTATCTTTTTATTTAAATTATTTCGTAATTTAAATAATTAATAGATTAAATAATAAATAATTTATCGTAATTTAAATAATTAATAGATTAAATAATAAATAATTTATTTTTTTTACAAAATAGCAAATCCGTAGGAAGACGGTCGGAAATTTCCGACGGACATTACCGTTGGAAATTTCCGACGAATAAGACGGTCGGAAATTTCCGACGGACTCGCCGGTCGGAATTTTCCGACGGTATTTGCAACGACACGTATCGGTCAGAAATCCGTCGAAAATTTTCGACGGATTCCGACCGATCTTTCATTTCCGACCACCTATACCCGACGGACAGTATGGTCGGAAATCCGTCGGAAACAGTTTAGTTTTCTTGTAGTGGAATATTTTGGAGAAAGTTATAATGAAATTATGTGCAGGTGATTATTAATGCTTGAGCCATCCGTACGATATGTACAAGTTATAAGAGACCCTACGATATGGGGACGGGAAGCAGAAGAATTTAAACCAGAGAGGCACTTAGATTCATCTTTGGACTATCGTGGAAAAGATTTGAACTACATTCCATTCAGATTAGGAAAAAGGATTTGTCCGGGAATAAAATTTGCTTTGGGTTTGGCAGAAGGGGCATTAGCCAACCTTGTAGCCCAATTTGACTGGACGGGAGAAGTTAAACCACCGGGAGATCAATCTGATCTAGTTGAAGCCACTGGTATCGATGTTTGCCGCAAGTTCCCCCTTATTGCATTTCCATATTTGGTTGTTTAAGATGCTCTCTCTTTCACCTAGATATCAATAAGAAGAGTTCTAATACATAAAGAACTCTTTACTCAAACAAAATGTCGCACACTTGTTTCATTTTATGTATGTGTATTTACATTTCTATTAATAAATCTATCATGTTTTCAGTAAAAATATTTTTTTTGTAAAATTGTACGTTTATAACAAAAGTTCAACTTTCATTAGAGCAATATGGATACAATTAAACGATATTTAAAACACAATTGTATGATCAATCATATATTCAAATATGGTACCAAATGAATATTAATACAATTTTTATAAAGTAATTGACATCGGTAAATGATTCAACATTAAAACGTTATGTTATATAACATTTAAAAATATTTAAACATTACGTTTTCATTGGATTTAAATTTGTAACAAATGTAGTTATGATTTTATGTTAAAAATTAATAAAAATATATAGAGATTTCGATTTTGGCATATAGAAATAATTATAATGTTCTGATTGGTTAATTTAATTGATGTGTCCTTTAAATTTTCTTTGATCTACAATATGAGTTTTTGCACATATGATTTCTCATTTAATATATATAGGATTTGGTGGCTTAAAGCCAATTTCACTTGTATAAAATTAAAAATAGGAAAAATATTTGTTAACTTTTACACGAGTTATAGGACATCACATGGTTACACAATGTATATTTAACTACACCAACTATTGTATAATACATGACGACTCCAACTAATGTATAATACATGAAGACTGATACACAGAGTTTTAACCCTAAAAATATCACCACGAGTGCACATCAAACGAAATATATTTCAAAGACCGAATCCACAAAGACCAAGTGTCACACAACAAATCTTATAAAGTAAAGCAAAGCTTAAATATTGTTGTGTTTTTTTATGAATCAAGAAAACTAGCAAATAAAATAGGTGAGAAATTCAATAAAAGAAAGCATCATGTTTCACAGTTATCGCATAAAATCATGAATTGCAGGAAATGGGATCATTCAATAGGAAATTGATTAAGAATCATCTTGAACTCAAATTACTAATGTATATTTAGCCTATTCTCGCAACAATAATTACTATGTCTAACAATTTAAGCTTCTAAAGTCTCGTTTGATTCTTATGAAGTTAATAATGCAGTAATATCAGGTTCGACTTGTTCACAAAATTCCTTAACTCAACTTTCACTAGTTAA